CTTTTCAAGTGGAGTTAGACTAGACTGCATATTTAAATGGTGATTATATATACAATTTGATTAGATGATTTTGATTGTACAACATTCGACCATCTTAAGTTGCAGCTGCATCCATAAAATATTGGTCCTTGCCATCTTGCTTTTGTACCAATTTGCTGTATTCTGTCCATAATATCACAGCATGAATTATCACGAGACATATCATAAGAATGATGCCGAGTAATTTTTCGGTCTTATAATGAGTCAATTGGTAGAAAATTAACGTATCATACTACGGTTTTTCTTTATTTCTTTTCTTTATGTCCTTTTCTTTTTCTGGTCTTAAAAATTTCAACCACACCTTAAATTAAATCAGCCAACTTCATCAACTCTTCACAAGCCGCACAATACAAGGCAAACCACCAAAATCATTTGCATCACAAAAGAATCAAACTAATAGATAATATACTGATCAGAATCAAACTAAAACATAACACAAGAATTAAGAGTAAATTCATTAGAGAAGAAAAGGAACAGTTAAAACTTAAAACAGTCATCACATGTGCAATGTGCAGTCTTTTCTCTTCTCTCCATGCCTTCTTCCTCTCTTCACACCAATGCCTCCCATTTTATCCATAGCCAAAGCAAACTCTTGAAAAAACCTTTGCTTATCCTTAGCCATTGCCTGAACCAAACCTTTTGTCCTAAGGTCCACAAACAGGGCCTGATCAGACCCAAGCAGGCCCATCTTAGCCTCCAAGTTCCCATAATAAGCATTGTCGAACGAGAATGGAGTCGTGACATCAAATGGGGCCACGATATCAGTATTCCCGCCAAAACGCGGGCACGACATTTTGAGGGCCTTAAGGAGCCTTGGGTCGATCCATGGATCCGGCTTTTTCGTGCCCTTGTAGTCATAAAGCCGGCCCACAAAATGCCTGCAGTTGGCAAACCCAATTGTGTGGGCCCCAGAGAGTATGACCAAGTCCTCTAGCGTTAGGCCCTTTGACCCAAAGAGCTTTAGAAGCTCGTCAACTGTCGAGTTTGCTCGTGGGAGGTTGGGTTGTACTCTTGAGGCCAACGAGATTTTGCCATCCCAACGGCCTTTTTTGACCGGGTAGTACGGGCCCCCTGTCTGAAAAGGGAATACACGGCTTATATTATGGAAATTTACGAAAATGCCCTTGAAAATAAATGAGGGAAATCTTAATTGGACTAGACTTAGGGGGGGTGCCCTTTTGGAATTATGAATAATTTGTTTGGTTGCATGGCTGAAAATGGTGTTTTTTTTGTATTTGTTCTACTTGTGTACATGGATAATGGATGGACAAAGTTTGTTATGACTAATATTGTTTGTCAGTAGCTCTGTTTATATGACAAGAAATTGTTTTTATCCAATATTATGTGCAGTTCACGGTTTTTATGTCGTTTTACTATGCTGGTGTTCAAGGCCCTGTCATTACTAACCAAGATGACCAAANTTATAATATGATCCTTAGCTAGTTTATCAGATTTTAAAAGGCGGGTGGCAGTAATGGCCAAAATTGAACAGCTGTTTTACTATTTTAATAAAAATCCAGAAAGTTGCGTCGAAATTTGGACAGTACTCAGCTGTTTATGAAAAAAAATCAGAGGAATATCATGAATATGATGTCCTAACTCCTAACTGCCATTATTTGTGATTTAATTCAACAAAGTTTAATCATTAAATCGGAGCACCCTGCATGAACATGAAGTTGCTCAATTTCATCACTTGCATTGATTTTTCCAAAATTATTTTCCCATTCAAATACCTCAGATTCAATAACTTCCAGCCAGATTAAATATGCAAAAAACTCTGTGGTCCACTTAACAAAATTGTGATCAAAATGCAAGTGTACAAGTCACTATCCCGAATTCTCTAAGCATGTGAACACCATATTTTTCCAATTACTTTCNAAGAAAAAAAAGAAGATATGACTAAGTTTTCGCGTGTTTTGTGAAAATATTGGAAAAAATTGCTTACTTCAACAAAACAGTCGTGAAAGAAAAGACGAATGGTGGCTGGCGCAGAAATTGGTGCTTCCTTGAACTGCTGTGACGTGACAGAAGCGACGAGCTGATCGAGCTGTGGGCATGTTTTCGCGTAAAAATCGACCGAAAGTTGATACTTAGGCTTACGTGTAACGGGTTGTGTAAGTGCATTGGCAAAAAGAACAAGAGAGATTGTTAAGGTGAAAATGAGTGTAGGAAATGATTTAGTGAAGAAAGACATGACAAATAATTATAAGGACAAAGAGTTTGGTTTGGCTGTGGACTTTGAGTTTGAGAGAATATGAGCTTTAGGACAATTTAGCAAATAGTGATTTGAGTGAATGTGCATAAAAAAAAGATGATGTTTTTCAACTTTTTATTCACTTGTTGTCCTAATGTTTTCAAGTGAGGTTAATTGGCTGTGGCTACATTATTAAATGTGGAGAATCAACTCTCGTGATACATCAACTTAGTGTGTTATTTCACCTGAAAGGCTGAAAATACAAAGGTACTGTGTGACAGTTTAACGGTTAGACATATTGATTCCACATACTTTTTAAATAAAAATGTATACTTATATTGTAAAATATTGTTGTTTTATCTCTCTGTAAAATTTGGTTTAAATGTGAATCGATTTTTAAATATGACATTTAAAGTATTAAATTATATAAAAATATGTTGAAAACATATTGGGAGCTAATATAATGGTTGAAAATATGACTAATACATCTATACCATCCTAAAGGAATAGACAGAACATATATATTAACATAATAGTAGTTGTGTATTGTTTGTGTAAATGTACATGCTTACTGCTTAGTTAGAATTTTCAGTCATGTTAATGATTTTGTTATTCTGTGTGATAATTGGACTTGTTATTTGGTTATTAGAAATATCTGTCTAATCTCTCCATTTCCTTTTATGTTTTTCCATTTATAATTTTTTTTTAAAGAAACCCAATTTTAATTTATATTTTCTTAATTTTCTACCATCTCCCCAGTTCCCAATTCTAGAAGTTAAAAAAAATGATGCATGTGCAATTCAATGCACAAATTTAAGCACACTCAGAGAAATTGCCTGAGCATTGATTTCAGCAGCATAACAGCATAATAATTATCTTTGCTCGTATCAAACAACCCAGCAACATAACATTCAAGGCACATTTTTGTTTTTTACTTTCCTTTTTGCTACACTAAAAACATCAAACTTAATATATTAATCGGTAAAAAATAAAAAAGATACACTGATAATGAAGGGAGGAATAAAATTCACTATTTTCTGTTCGACCTGATTTCTGGCACTGTACAGAATCTGTTCTTAATTCTTCCATTGTTTGGAATTTGTTTCATACGATTGACCGACCGTTGAATTTGATTTATCAAGACAATCGTACCCACAAAATTTTATTCCAATTGAACTTCGTTTAGCCATTCAAAATTTCATCTAAGTGGGTTTAACAATCCAGATACAACTATTTATGTATACTAGATGCTCTATGCAACTATAATGAATAAATTCACACAAAAGACAAGGCCCGAGTTCGTTAAATGCAGAGCATGTGCAAGTATGGGCTAACCACATCAACTCAGCTACAGGCCCACAATCCTTTTTTTTTTTCTTACTTTTAATTTTATTTTTCATATTTGGAGGTCCTTTTTATTATGAGTGTTAATACTTACCGCACCCATTTTTACTATTTACCGCACCCTTAAAATACTGCTTTGCCCTTATTAAAAAATAATAATAAAAAATTCAATTTTTAATTTTTTTTAACATTAAAAAAAAATATAATTCTTACAAATTGATAAATGTGGCCAATCAAAAGAATGTTATAACACAAAATTCGAAAAAAAAAAATTCATAAAATTCGAACAAAATTAAAAAAAAAAAAAACTAGAAAAATTCGAACAAAATTAAAAAAAAATCCGAAAAAATGTCGGGACAATCCTCACGCACCGGGAAAGGACTCTCCAATTCACAAGTATTTTTTTTTTTTTTT